CTGACGTTTCGGGCCTAGACCCTTCTTCAGGAAGGGTCTCGGCCCGAAATATCAGCTTTGCTGCTGCTCTGATGCTGCTTGGCCTGCTGTGTTCATCCAGCTCTACACCTTGTTATCTCAGACAATGGAAAGTGCTCTTAATCATGATTAAAATAAAAGTAAAAAGTTCAGTACTTATAGTCATAGTGCACAGGAAAATACAATATTAAGATGCTTAGTGGATACATCAGACACTGTTTTTCAGTCAAATGATACCCAGACTACGATAATATTTAAAACATTTGAAAACTGAATTAACTTTGAGATAGTAAGAACTATCGATGAGGTTGCCTCACTTCTCCACGGTGTCTTTGTTGGAGAGACTGTGGAAAGACGAGACTTCTACAATTCATTGCTCAAACTAAGGTGGACAAAGAGGAAAACATTTCACGCCTAATTATTTTATATGCTATTTACTTTAGACTTGTGCAATTCTTTTTTTGCCATAGCACAGGCCTACCTAAGCTTAATTGCTCCAAGTCACAGTGGAAAGAACAAACGTGGTTTACTTCAAAAGTATATATTATTCTTGAAATAAGAAGAGAAATTACAAAGGATCAAAAAACTAAGTGAGTGGCAGATTGAGTTAAACATGCAAAAGCATTAGGTCATCCACTCCAGATCGCAAAAGACAAACTGTACTAATTTCTTAAGGATCAGAAAATAGGATTTGTGAAGGAGAAAAGGGAGCACAGCATTCATATACACAAATCATGAAAGTTAGTGCACAGGTACAAAAAGACAAATTAAACACTGGCCTTTATTTCAAGTGGATTGGAAGACAAAAGTAATGAAGCAATGCTTCAGTTTCACAGAACTTTAGTCAAACCCCACCTTGACCACTGATTTTAGTTTTCATCATATATATTAGGCTAGGCTTTGCTGGAGTGATGCATCCCACAGACTTGTTGGTTAGACCTATTCATGCCTGCTTTTTCTCTTTTTTTTTGTTTGCAGATTTCTGGAAAGGACCAGCTGATAATAGTGGAACAAAAGAAACCAAGTACCTTAATGAATAATGGGATGATTGTTGAACCTCTTTAACCAATGAGATTTAAAGACTGATGGAAAAACAGAGGAAGGGACTGAGAAAGAGGGTAAATTAGATTGGGAGAATTCATTGTCGTACATTCAAAAAAATACAATGAAAAATTGCATTGAAAGAGAAGAAAAAGAGATAAAAAGGAAAAAAAAACCTTAAAATTTAAAACAAATTGTAGCTTCAATAAATGAGACTCCTTGCTTATAATTGTTTACTTCCTCGATAACAGGTTAACTTGGCAATCATTAACAATTTTGACAACATTATAAGGCTGCTTTGCTCTTAATAATTAGACTTAAATTTTTCTGATGAGTTAATAAGCAAGTAATGGAGAGATGCAGAAAATTTATCAAAAGCATCAT